TTTCAAGAGGTTGTGGTGTATATATATATATATCTGTGTGCGTGTGTGCAAAAAACCGTGTTTCTCTTCGTCAACGTAATCTTAAAAAATGACCTTCGCCATGAACAAAAAGGGCTCCATTTTCAACACTGACACCGTTTAGCGTGCTATAAATCGTTAAACTGAAAAAACCCGACTTGCCCTAAGCTCTAGGACTCCAAGACGACGGAAAAAAAAATCGACTATAAAGTGAGCAACAGTGCCTACTCCTAAGAGTGCAGATGTAGCATCCTACTTCCAACGCCATCAATTTTCATAAAATCAAACTTCAAACACAATATCAGCCCCGATATACAACCCCGCCGCAATAACATTAAAAACCCTAGCAACATAACATGCAAAATTGCTACACATACGCCGCAGCCAAATTCCAACAAAATCATCAAAACTGCCTATCAAATCACACAATCCCAAACCAATGCCGAAATCACAACAATTTCCGCCTAATACCCAAGCAAAACCGCCCGGATCCGCCGATCAAATTCACCAAAAAAGAACAAAACCCGCATTAACCCCCGACAAACGAATTACTCCCCAGAAAACACAGATGGAGCATGCAATGACTGTATCAAGCTCCGCTGATCGCTCAATGACCTCAAATTTCGAGATCGGCGTGCCGCCGATCTTGCTCCGCTCCGGCGTGTCCATTTCATCCGATCTCTTTAGACCTCTCCCACATCACTTGATTTCGCCTTCACATCTCCCCCCTTCTCTCTCTCCCCCTCACTCTCCCTCTCTCTCTCCCTGCTATATATCACCCGTATTTTTGCTGCTCTCGGCTTCTCCTACGCCTGATTTGAAGAAAAGCGAAGAGCGGGAAGACCCATTTTCTCTCGTTAGCGTCGCCGGCCCCACCGCTGCCATTTATTTAATAAATACCCCTGAAAAAAGAAACTAACTGGAAAATGGATAAGTTTATAAATAATAAAAATGAAAGGGACTAAAATCTCAAGGGACAGTTTCGCCTAGATAATTATTTCTTTGATCCAAAACAATTATTAATTTGCTCTAACAACAATTTGACTAATTTCATGAAGGCCTAATCTGATTAAAAATAATTTGTTGTATTACAAATTTTTATTTTTTTTGAAAAATCAGATCATAATCAGAGAGCTGACACCGTACTTAAATAAATGCAGTATGAAAATATTATTTTTAGCATTTTGAAAACACATAAGTTGTCAATATGCAGTTTATTCAAACAGATCAAATGCGTTTTCAAAACGTCACCCCCACTGCTGCGCTTTCACAAATTACTAAAATTTTTAATTTATTTTTTACGTATTTGTCCATTTGGGATTTTGTTTTTGCACATCAGCCCATCGCGGGGTTATGGAGAATTGTTGAACGCCTTAAATGGACTAACGTTTTGGGTAATATCTTCCCTTGTTTGACAGCTCGGAGACAGCTTGGAAAATATTGTATTTTCGTTAAGTTGTATAAATTATTAAAAATAATTATTTTCTTATTTAAAATTAGTTATTTTATAATTTGTTTGGTATGCTTTGAAAAACAAAATAAATGTACGGGCAATTCTGATTTATAATCAATCCATGTTTCTAATCAATCCGTGTCATTGTTAAAAATTAGTTATTTTATAATTTGTTTCTAATCAATCCATGTCAGTGTTAAAAGTTATTAATCAGATAGTATAATCACGATCTAATCGAGATAATTTGGATTGTGATGGCGATGAAAAATAGAATCGACACAAATTCAGAAGAACACACGGATATTTAATGAGGCTCGGCAAAAATGCCTACGTCCTCGGGAGCAGAGCGGTGGTTTCTCCACTAATCCAGAAAAAGAGTACAAGATACAGAATAGAATAACATATGGTTACAAACATGTATATTTATAACCTTAAAAATAGCAGAAAGAAAACATTGAGTACAATATTTAATTACCAAATTACCTCTGTACAGCACCCCAACCCACATAAAAAAACTCCCCTGATTTGGACAGAATCTTCCGCTCCGCTTCAGTATTTGTTCCTTATCTGGTATATAAGTCATACCTAACAGATTTATTATCTTGAATTTTTTTCTCTCATAAACTTATAAGTTTGGATTGATTTTTTTTTCATGTTTCTCGACAAATAGTGCATTAAAGAAGCTATTAAAACTCAGGATTTTAAATATGCATTGAATCTCTGCACAACTTAAACCATCTTAAATCAAAGATTGTGATTGAAATAAGTGAGATTCATAAAGTGCAGTGTCACAGGAAAGACAAAAATATTCTTGCACATATATGAGTTTCATAGGAATGCTAGAATATTATGAAATTTAGTCAATTCTCTCAATTACCACGAAATAATGAATCAATCAAGGCTAGGACTTTATTTCTCTTACTAAATCTTGTATATTCATGGATGCGTAAAGTATTGCGAGCCACATACTTTTTAATCCTGAGCTCAATATCTCTGTGCTTGTGGCTCAGAATGTCATCTATAGCACTTGTTTAGATTGTTGAAAATGAAGTATAATGTAAACCTTACAGGGTACACTGATTATAATGTATTATGAATATTTTAAAACGATTTGATTGTTTGTAAAGTAAATACAGGTAAATTATTTTTTTCTATTTGGTTAAATGCATGGCAAGTAAAGTAAAAACACAGTGTTCTGAATACATGTGAGCTATTCGGTTGCATGCAAAAAGAGTACTGAGTTTTTATTTTTCATAAATTAGATATTTAATTATATATATATATATATATATATATATCACCCAAAATTATGATACGTTTACATACATACCACTCAATTCATATTCGTATTTACATATCTAACAACTAAATTTTGATTATTACATTAATACCATCCCAAATTGTTTTCATGATTTAAGCCATGTATGTAAAAAATTAAGTTTAGGTTTAAGATATGTAAATATATAGAAATCAAGTGGCTTATGTCAGAGTTTATTTTTATATGGAACTCATTTGGTAGGAATATCAAGCCAAATGCAATCACAAGCTAAATAGTCTGTACATAATAATGGCTTGAAATTCTCTTTTCAAATCAAACGCGTTGCAAACAATTATTTCTTTGCAAAAAAAATTGCTTCTGAAATTCACAAAAGATGTGATTACGATGAACTTGGGATGCAAAGGCTATTTTCTATAAAATTAATAAATGACAGAGAGAAGCAAATCGGGTTCCATAACCTGTTCTGATTAATGAGAGAAACCAGAAGTTTGGCATAAGCATTAATAGTTTCAGTCAGTTCTTCAAAACACTGAACATAAATATTACAATCTTAGCGTTTGAGAATAAGGATTGAAGCGAAATAACAGTTTTAAAAGCACAAAATCAGCTGTTTAGAGTACCTAATCCACTATCCAAAATGACTCGTCATGCCCATTTATCTAATTCATTTCTCATCCATCGAGCTTTGGATTGCTTGAGCCTTGAAAGAAATGAAAGAATCATCGTAGAATTCTTGGATAAGTTTTTATATATGGCATCAATGTCATTTTTGGAAAAACCAAGAATGTTTGAAAGCTCTGTCACAAGTTCTGTAAATAATTTTCTTTTCTTTAGAATATTTTGTTGTGCTCTTGATTGCAATAGCTACTATAACAACGTATTCCAGAATATTTTGATCAGCCGTAGGCACTTTCTTCCTCTTTTGTGGTGTTTAGTAAAGTGGAGATCCAGTTCACCAAAATTTAATTAGCTTCCTAATTAAAAATCTCACCTACCGCTCACATACCACATCCCACCTACCTCCCACCTACCGCTCTCATAGTTTCTATAAATAATCTATTTTGGCTTAAAGGAGAAGGCGAGCCAATCAAGACCAAGCCAAGTTAAGTCCTCTTGAGAGCTAAGAGAATGAGAGGAAGAGAGAGAGAGAGAGGAATGGAGAGAAGAAAATATAGATTTTCTAGTAAATGTCGAAGCGCTCGATGGTATAATTCCTCGAAGTACTAAAATCCTCTGCAGCTCCGGGGACGTAGGCAATTTTTTCGAACCACGTAAATTTGTGTGTCGCTCTTTGCTCTATTGTTTTTCTACGTACAATTTTTCTCGTTCTATTTTTAGCTTTATTGTAGTCGTTTTTCATAACAACTGGTACAACTGGTATCAAAGCTTGGGTTCGAATCTAAGGAAGAACGATGGGCGGAGACGAAGTGATGACATTGGGGATTGAGAAGTTCAAAGGCACAGATTTTGTTTACTGAAGGATGCAGATAGAGGACTACCTCTATGGGAAGAAACTTCATCTTCCGTTAATGGGAAAACGACAAAAAAAGATGGACGAGGCGGAATAGAATCTGTTGGATCGACAAGTTCTGGGGGTTATACGATTAACCCTGTCGAGATCGGTTTCCCACAACGTCATCATGGAGAGGAGTACTGCAGATCTCATTGTGGCTTTATCGACGAATAACAAAATGCATCTAAGTTGTGTCTGTTGCTCAACACCTGAATGATTTCAACATTATCACAAATCTGTTGTCGTCTGTTGAAATTGATTTTGACAATAAGATACGTGCGCTGATATTGTTGGGATCATTGTCAAATAGTTGGGAAGCAAGAGGATCGCAGTTAGCAGTTCTACAGGTAAATCTAAGCTGAAATATGATGATATTCGTGATTTGATTTTGGCTGAGGAGGTGCGCAAGAAAGATTATGGCCATACCTCAGGTTCGAGTTCGGCACTGATTGTTGATTCTAGAGTGAGATCACAAGATAGAAGCTCAAACCGTGGACGATCAAAATCAAAGTCAGGTCAGCAAGCAACCTGTTGGAATTGTGGCAAGGCTGACCACATAAAAAGAAACTGCGGGAATCCTAAGAAGAATGAGAATGATGGCACTAATGTTGTAACTGAAGAAATACATGATGCACTATTTCTGACAGTTTACAGTTTTGTTGATGACTAAATAATGGATTCAGTGGCTTCCTTCCATACATCTTCCTGTCGGTAGTTAATGCGAAATTATGTTGCAGGTAACTTTAGGAAGGTATATCTGGCTGATGGAAAAGCTCTGGACGTGGTGGGAATGAGAGACGTTGATATTGCACTCCCTAACAAAAAGCAAATTGACTTTGCAAAAGGTTGGGCACGTTCCTGAGTTGAAGAAAAACCTCATCTCTGTTGGGCAGCTCAATGAGGGTGGTCATTCGGTAGTGTTCTCAGATAACACCTACCAAATGAGCATTAGTACTGGCTCGGGAAAAGAAAACTGACACACTATATATGACTATAGATTTACTCAGGCGATGACACATGAGTCAGAGGTGCATTATGGGAAAGCAAAAAAAGGTCAATTTCTTGAAAAGTGGTAAAGCTCCAAAGGCAGAAAAATCAAACATTGTACAGACAAATGGTAGAGAACCACATAGCTATAAAGAAATATTACAAGATGAGAATTCGAGCAGGTGAGAGCTGACCAAGAAGGAGGAGAAGGATTCCCTACAAGGGAATCGGACTTGGGAGCTGGCAGAACTTCTACTAAGGAAGAAGACATTGCATAACAAGTGGGTGTACCGAGTGAAGACTGCACTTTGTGGCAGTAAGAGGTACAACGCTGGACTTGTTGAAAAGGGCTTTCAACAGAGGCAGGGTATTGCTTATGCAGTGGGAGTTATAAGCAGATACATGAGTAACCCAGGAAAGAGCTTGGTGGTACAAGGTTATGTTGGCGGTGATATGTCAACTAAGGGTGTTACTCGTGAGAAGCTAAAGTTGTGCTCAACTTCAACTGGTATTCTGACATAAAGGCAGGGGATTCGAGTTGCAGAGGTGGATGATATCATGTTTAAGGAAAAATTCGGTACAATTAGTAGATGATGCGGCTAG